TATACTAATAACTAATATATCTTTATCTTAGTAGATCTTATAAATATTAACCTCTTATTACTAAGTAACCTAAGTAATAAATCTATAAATAACTAAGAATATATTATTATAGGTTTTTTTAGAAAGTATAACTCTAAAGAGCTAAGTAGTTTACTTATCTCTTAAGTATATAAGTTACTTTAAGTAGTTAAATCTAGTTAAGAAGTTAAAGAGATCCTAAAAGATATAATAATATAGATAAATTAAGTAGTCTTTAGAGGCTTACTTTAAAATTACCTTACTTATATAAGTAATAGTATAATACTTATATTTAATATAAGATAGTCCTTTAATTTTTACTTCTTAAGTATTAACCTAGAGTATAGTAAGTACTTTAGGCCTTAGATATCTACTCTAAAGGTACTAAAGGTAGACATTATTACTATAGTCTACTAGTGTATTTATTAATAAGTAAAACAAGGCTATAAATACTTATATATTTACTAGTAAAGTAAGGCTATAAAAAACAAGGCTATATAATAGCCTAAAGTAAAAAGAAAGAGATTTATATTTAAAGAAGACAAGATTACCTTTATATACTAGCTTTTTATAGTTATATTTTTTTTAGGTATTTTAAAGTAAAGAGTATAGTTATATCCTTAATACTATACCTTTACCTTCTTAATTAGACCTTCTAAGGTAATATTAATATAAAATCTAAGAATAAAAGCTACGTTTTTTAGCCTAAGATCCTTTATACTTAGCCCTTTTGCTTTATTAAGGAGGTTTTTATAATATATATACTATATTTTTCTATAAAGTAAAATATTATACCTAATTAAATATAATAATTATCTATATTTATTTTATAAAAGCTAGGCTTAAGAAGTAACTTATTATTTATAATATAAAGACCTCTATAGTTATTAAGAATAGTGCTTTTACTAAGAGTATATAAGCTAATAAGTAAGGTTAAGAATATACTAAGAGTTAAAGAAAGTATAGCTAAGGTCTTACTAAATAAGTAAAAGTTAATAGTAACTATAATAAAGGTGCCTTATAGGTAAAAGGGGGTTAAATTTTTCTTTTTTTACTTCTTTTATACTTTACCTCTAAGGTTTAACTATTTTAGCTTTAAAAGCTTTATAATAATAGCCTTTATTACTTATTTACTTAGGTTTACCTAAATAATCCTAAACTTACTAGAGAGTATATACTTAATATACTTATAGTTAATAAGTTTCTATAAGTAGTTAGACTTTTTATAAAGGTATTTAAAATACTATTTCTTATTTTATAGTTTACTTTTCTTTATAAAGGTTATATATATTTTTATTACTTTATAAGATTTTATAGGTATTATTTATAGTAAATTACTTAGTAACTTACTGTATTTTCTTAGGGTTATTTATTATCTTCTATATTATTTAGTCTTTATAAGGTTATTTAGCTTATTATTTGCCTAGGAGAAAGTAATTTACTACTTAATAGTGTATAAGAAGGTCTTAATTAAGAGAGTGCCTTAGATCTTAAGGATACTATATACTTTAGCTTTTATTAAGGCTATTTACTATTCTTTAAGCTAAGTAAATAAGTTATTTATTAATAAGGTATATATAAGAGTCTTATTATAATTATTATAGGCTATATTACTTACTATATTATAAAAAAGAGGATATTATTATTTAATTTTTAAAATAGTAGTATAAAAGGTAAAGTTAATATTATTATTTAGTAATTATAGCTATATACTCTTTATAATCTTCTTTATAACTATAGTATTAACCTAGCTTAATAATAGGTTATTTATTTTTTACTATTTATATATTCTTAGCTTAGTAAAAAATAAATTACTTATAATAATAATCTATTTTTACTTTATTACTTTATTATTAATAGTTAGTACTACTAGCTAAATAGGCTTTTAGCTTTACTACTTTACTTACTAGCTAACTAAGAGGTTATTTTAGCTTATAAGGTTAACTTTATATTACCTTTAGTGTTTAGTATTTTACTTTATAATATATTTAGCTAATATAAGTACTCTAAGGTACTTTAGAAGCTTCTCTTTGTTGTCTAGATTAATAAATTACTAGACTTTATATTAAGTAGTAAAAAGGTAAAGCTTTATATACTATAAGAACTAATCTTTATATATAGTTAAAAAGCTATAAAGGTAGATATTAATTAGTAGACTTACTATTATTTCTAAAAGTATTATAGGTATAAAATAAAAGTTAAAAAAGAGTATTAGCTTTAAGAAAAGTATTTTTAAATATATACTACTTTATAATAGTAAAGGTTATTATTACTTATAAATTAAGTTAAAGCTAGGCTTATAACTATTATTAAGTAGTATATTTAAAAGATAATTTATATAGTTAAAAGTAGCTTATTTCTTTTATCTATAGTGCTATAATCTATATTCCTTAAATATTACTTTACTTAGTAGATTCTACTATAAGTATCTATATTTAGGAGCAAAGGTTAAATTAATAAGTAACGTTGTTCTAAAAACTAGTGTTAGTTAGTAATATCCTATATAATACTAATACTTATCTTTACTATATAAGGTTAATTACTAGTTAACTTAAAGATAGTAGTCCTTATAAGGCTTAAGCCTACTTAACTATTAAGTCTAATAGTATTAAGTATATAAGAGAGTAAATAGTACTTAGTAGTTTACCTAGGTAGTTTCCTTAAAGAAATAAGTATACTACTAGTAGTCTTTAGGCTATAGGTAGTATATATATTATTTACTTTAATAGTAAAGGTTATTAATATACCTTATAAAATAAATAAAAGGCTTATACTATTTAGGCATATATAAGTTAAAACCTTAGTAAGTCTAGGCTATATAAGTAGCTACTTATACTAGCTAGAAATTAGCCTAGTATAAAGTATAAGTATTATTAAGGATAAACTAGTAGTCTATTTTTCTTAGTAAAATCTACTAAGAGGCTAATATAAAAGCCTAGTAGACCTATAATTTCTAGTCTTTTACTTTATAGTAATTACTATAATATTACTATATATTAGAAGTATAAGAACTAAGAGTATCTCTTATACTCTTAATACTTCTTTATCTTATATTTCCTCTATTATAGAGGTTATATATATATAAGATATATATATATATAATCTACTAACTTAGTAGATTAATATATATATTAGTTATATAAACATGTCTAACTACGTAATTACTAGAAGATAGGAGAAGGTACTAGAATATCTAAGAAACCTTCTCCTAACACTATCTCTTTAATAAGGTTACTGCTTTAAGTTAGGGTTATTTAACTAAGGTTAATAAGTTACATAATCTTAGTTTGATTTCTAAGCAGCTTACGCAAGTATGGAATATTCTAGTAAGCTAGATAGGTCTATATAAGGGCTAGATTTCTTCCTGTTTCTAGTCTATCTTATTCTCTCTCAAAGTAAGCAAAACAGATCAGTTAGTAATAAAACAATAAGACTAACTATTATACTTTCTTTATATTAATATCCTTATATCTCTATATCTACCCCTGTTATCCTATATTCTTGCTTCTATAGGATATATCTTTATATAAGAGATATACTCTCTTATATACTCTTAGGCTATTATTCTCTCTAAGAGATCTAAGCCTACCTATTGTACTAACACTATACTTTTTATTTACTTTAGTAATATACTATCTAGTAAAATATTATTACTTTAAGTAAAGGCTTTTTTTATTATAATATCTTTATTTAAGTTAGTTTATTAAGGAAGGACTTTTTAAAAAGTATTTAATACTTACTTAGTTATATATTTTTCTAGTATAACTAGGTTTCTTAATAACTAAATAGTTTATAAGTTAGTATAAAATAGTAAAATATCTATAGCTTTTATATAAAGCTATATATATAGGTTTAAATACTCTCTTATATTCTTAATAATTTTTTTTACTATTTAGATATTTAATTTTATTTAAAATAAATCTACTATATTACTACTATCTAGTTTAAACCCTTTTTACTAATTTATTATTCTATAAAAAAGCCTATTACTATTAAATTCTATAAATATAAAGGTATATATATTATTATAAAGGCTTTATAGTAAAAAATAAGTTACTTTATAATTTAGATTTAGCTAAAGCTATATATATAGTTACTATATATTAGTAATTTAGCCTAGTTATACTAGCCTTAGTATACTATTTTTATAAGCTAATTCTTATTATAGTAAAAAGGTATTTTTATTATATTCTAGTAAAAAGTTTTTTTAAATATATAAATTAAGGTAGTTATATTACTACTTAATATAGTCTTTTCACTAGCTATTATAAATTTAATAAAAAAAGTAAAGCTATAATATATAATATAAAGTAATATAGTATAAAAGTAAAGTATAATAGTAAAGTAGTAAAATAAGACAAGTAATAATAAGGAGCTAAATAATTAATATAAGACAAGAGCTAGGTATTAGTATAGGTTATCTATTAAGGTTACTCTTCCTTATAGGAGGTAATAGGTAATAGGATATATACCCCTAGGTATATACCTAGATATATACTAATAGGGTAACCCTATGTTCTACTTGTCTATTTACTATATAAGGCACTTGTCCTATAACATTAGTATTACTAGCTAAATAAGCTTCTATTCTTAATAATTAAATTATAATATAACTAAAAGATTTAACTATTTTATAAAATAAGTTTTATATTATTTTTAGTGTTTAATACTTTACTTTATACTAAATTATATATATAGTAATCTATATACTTATTAATAGACTATCTTTACTTTTATAAAGCTACCTTTATTTTATAGATCTAACTTAACCTACCCCTCTTTAAGTCAAGGCCTATTAAAGTCTATATAGTATACCTTTAACCTATGTAGGTTAGATTACTAACAGTAGAGTACGCTAGGTAAGCTATATAACGCTACTTTAGTTACCTCTTATAACAACAAAGCAACTAATTAGACTGACACAGCATAGTAGACATGATGTGCAGGGTTGAATATTGAGGGGTAGGCACGCGCAATCTTACATGCAGCTCTCGACGCACCCAAACGGGGCTCCTCATTCACGTCTACCAGACGACACAGTTAATAAATCAGGGCGCATACAGTGACGCCTATATTAAATAAAACAAGTCACTGAAGCCGCATCGAGCCTGGCCTTCGGGACCCCTCTTTCTGTGTCGTCCCCCACACATATGCAGGACAGTCAAGATGCCGATGAACAAGATGAAACCCGAGCACAAGACTTACTTTATCCTCCGTAGTACAGACTACAAGCCCGATGGCCTCATCCAACTCGGCCAGCTCATCGAGGACCCTTACACGCCCTACCGCCGCCTAGCGCCTCCCGTCAGGCCCCTCCCTGCAGATGCCATTCATCTCTCTTTCAGGAACGACTGGACCCTGGACAAATCCAAGGGAGCGGTCGGCGAACTCGGCGTCTTTGCGCAGTTCCTGGCCGTGATCACCGCAGAGGCCTCGACCCACGCGTCCAACGAATTCACGCAGTCGTGGAGCGCGGCCCAGCTCGAGACGGCATTCCTCGAACTGGGAACGGACAAGGAATCCGACTACGTCACTTCCAGCGTGCAGAAGGCGGCGGTGCAAAAGTGTCTCACGCGCGAGGGGTTCTTCAAGAAGATGGTCCTCAGCAAGAAGGTCTTGTACATGGTCACGGGTGTCAAGATTGCGAGGAGGCCCGGCCAAGTCTCGTATGGGGTGAGCAAGACGACTGGCGGTGCCGCGAAGCTGGGCGCAGACCCGGGGACCGGGGGGATGGTCACGGCCGGCGTGCAGGGCGGGCTGGACCAGTCCAGCAGTATCGTCGAGAGCAGCACGCCGGATGACGATTTCGTGTTCGCTTACAGACTCCGCAAGGTCCACGTCAATTTCAGCAGCAACAAGTCCCTGCTGGGGAACGATGTTTCCGGGGCCGAGTTGCACGGGCACGGTGCTGGGGGGGGCGGTAGTGATACGAGCTCTGAGGAAGAGAGCGATGAAGAGGTCCCGGAAGAGGTCATTGTTGATGTTGATGAGCTCGACAAGGTCTTAGTTGAGAAGGAGGACTTTGGAGACTCTCTCCCTGCCCGAAACGAGAAGATCGACAGTCTTGACGAAGTCGACGGTGGCGAGTGCTTAGTTATAGTTGCAGAATAGTATCGCCAAAAGAAAGAGCTCTCTAGTATCTGTACCCTTAGGCGAAGCCTCTGGTGCAGCTTTCCAAACTTGGAATTGGTTAAACAACACTGTGCAGTCACTTGTTTTTCATCTGCCAACGTGTTCAAACCGACATTTGATTCATCATACGAGACATCGAAACCTACTTGACCCAAGCCCCTAAGCAAAGCCTCAGCATCTGAGCGAAAAAGGACACAGGACCGCTCTTTTCTTCACCGCTGAAGTTGAAGTAGTTGTCCCGGCCTACCCAAGGGTTGAGGTAGTTGTGGTGGTCCGCGGTGGGCGCCATACTCATCTTCAAGAGTATGGCCCGGACGCAGTCGACCGTCTTGAAGTTCAGCCCCGGCTCGAGGTTGATCTCGGCCTTGTTCGTGTCGTAGAACTGGTACAGGATGGCAACGACCGACGCGACGATCGGCGTCGCGAAGGAGGTCCCCGACATGGCGACCCACAGCCCTGGGGATTTCTTCTTATCCACCACCTTCAGCGGCGTCTCCCTGTCTTTGTCCCTCACGGCTTCCGGCCAGATAGACACGACGTCGTGGCCCAGGATGCTGAAGCAGTAACTCGTTTCCAGGTCCGGGCTCGGGCTGAAGGAACACTTTCCACCCTGGTGGTCGGTTGCAAAGATCTTGAAAACCCCCGGGAACCGAGCCGGGAAAGAAACGTTGGCCTTTGAGTTCCCAAAGTTGCCCGCGGCCGCGAAGAGGATCTTATTTTCCCAGTTGGCCCTGCTGACTGCTGCTCGAAATTGTTGGGTTTTATAAGTACGGAACCCAAACGACATTGAAATGATGTCTGTGTCCCATTCCGTGATAGCATGGATGATTGCCTAGTAACGTAGTAATGGTCATTAGCCAATGCCTCCCGTAGATACATTTGCTCGCAAAGGGCCCTAGTCCAGCGTCAATCACTCACCTTTGTCACTTTTCCCTCCGCGTCAGGATCCCTCATCAGGGAGGCCCGGGTCGTGGCCACCCGGGCTATGGAGAGCTCAACGAGTGGTGCGAGTTGAAGCACAATTCCAACGATAAAAGTGCCATGCCCGTCCTCATCAATTGCTTCGGCACTGGGGTTCTCCGTCACGAAGTCCTTGAAGAGAGCAACCTTTTTGTTTGCCGCTTGCCTGAAATCTTGCCATCGCCGCTTGATGATGAACGGATGGGTTTTGTCGAGGCCAGTATCGATGATGGTGACTCTGACTCGTTCCATATTCTTGTCATGCTGAGGACTGAGAATCCTGTTGCGAGACCTGATGAAGTCCCTCATCCACTTTTCGCTGTTCCTACAAGTCATCGTTAACTCCTGGGAGGCAATGGTCATCGCTTTCAAACGAAGACTGACTTACTGAATGCTGCTAAGAACGGTCTCCGAATCGAAGAAGGCCGGCTCTGTATCTGGATGCATTGGTATTCCTGTAGTTGTGAGTTTCGTCAGCTCTCTCATTGTCCCAATAATGCCCCCAAATACCTCTGGAGATGTTGAATACGCACCAGGTTCTGACCAGTCCGAATATTCTGTGTCTGTTCTGCTGATGCCTTGCTGGATCTCGAAATCTTTCTGTATATTTATATCCCTCTTCTGAGCCTCTTTTTCTTCCCCTTCCCTCTTCCTTGCATGTTCCTCCTCCTCGCTTCGCTTATCTTCGGATTCCTTCTCCCTGCTTTCTTGTTCTCTCTCATCGCCTAGCCTTTTGGCTCGGTTCTCGTCCTCCATCCTGCTTTTCTCTTCCTCTTCTGACCCTCTTTTTCCCTCATTACTCTTCTCCTCATTACTCTTCCTCTCTTGCTCATCCGCCATCTGCTTCTCTTCATTCTCCCTCTTCCTCTTGTCCTTTTCATGTTTCAGTCTCATCTGCTCTTCGTCCTTCTTCTTCTTTTGGTCTTCCTCTCTCTTCCTCTTTTTGGCTTCCTCTTTCAATCTTTTACGCTCCTCCTCCTGCTTCCTGTTTTCCTCTTCCTCCTTTTCCCTCTGCAAAGCCTCTTGGACCAATGAGTTCCATTGGTCTATAACCAGCCTCCTGCGGCAAGTGATGTTCCGCCTGGCCGTCTTCTTGGATTCCGATAACGCTCTCTTCCATCTTTGTTTGACCATTAGTCTGCGGCAAAAGAGATGCCACTTGTCCCGAGTTTCCTTCTTCTGGGGTAGGACATCCCTCCTTACTTCAGCGCGCACCTGGTCCAAGCACCGTCTCCATCTCTGACGAGCCAGAAACCCTGTTGCTTCCCTCCACTCATCTTCGACTTCGTCTCCTATGCACACTGCCGTTTCGGACTGACCGGGATCCTGGGCGCCATACTCCCGTACCCGGGACTGAACAGTCTTGTAAACCTCGTACCCACTCTTTCGATCCTCCAGGTCCACGGTGAAGTGCTTAAACGCCACAATCCCGTAGTGTTGCATATCAACTAGTTCCTCGTCGTCCATGTCGTCGTCGATTTGGACTAACGCCCGGACACGGGTCCTGCTCAGCTCGGCAAGCTCCAGGGGCTTTCGGTCTTGGCTTTTCAACAAAGCTTTAGTGCAATGAAGTACATCATCAATGTCCTCGCCTCGAATGTCGTTGACTTCTTCATTCATGTTCTCCACGGCGAAACTCAGTGCCTCGAAGTGGAGCTTTTCGGCACTCGCAACATTTCGCGTCTCCTCTTCCATGGCCAACTGGATGAGCGAGGCCGTTAGATCCTGTCGGGCCTGCAAAATCTTCGAAGAATCGGGGGGCTTCTGGGATCTCCGGGCTTGGAGAACCTGTCGGTAAAATGTCTCGGCTTCGCCATAGTTCTCCATGAGAAAGTAGCACTCCCCCAGATGGTGCCGCGCTACTACGACGTCAAAGTTGTCACGTGGGAGTTTCTTGATAATGTCCCATAACATTGCGTCCAGAATCAACTTGGCAGCCCTGCTTGGATCAGTTTTCTTCATGTGGGCGGCCTCTCTGATAGCTCTGTTGAAATCCTGAAGACTTAGGTTCGTGCGGTTCTCGAGGCTTGAATGCTCTGGACTGTTGTCGACAGCCTTTGGTTTGGTAATTACCGGCATCTGTTGTGAATCCGAGTTTCCTACTGCCTGGGGACTCTTTTCTTCAATGTTGATGCTTCGATGGAGTTTGACGTTTGTGCCCCCCTCATTTGATGTGTTCGGGAAGGGCGCGGATTGACTTGCAGAAGCTCTTAACGTAGGTTTGGCGCTCCGCCCTCTCAGCATTTGATTCCCGGAGATATCTGAAGAGAAATCGGATTCATTCCGAAAAGCCGTCTCGCTTTTCGATCCGTTGGTATTTGGGTCAGGATGGTTGGAGCTTGAAGGTTGGCCATGATGAACATGGTGTTTTAAGAAAAGAGGCTGCTGCGTATCGCCGTTCCCCGCTTGAGTCGGCCACATTGTTGGAAAGCGGCGGAAACATGGACGGAGAGACGACGGGATAATGGTAGCCGGCGACGTGAGTGAGAGCTGCGTTGGAGCCCGATCTGACAAGCAAAGAGTCACAAAACTCGGACAGTTGTAGTCCAGTCAACAGCACTAGAGGCTACTTTGGTCATTTTGAGGGAAAACATCGAATCGTCTTGGCTGAAAGCTAAAGGCCAAAGGTGGGGTGTTCCAGCTGACCTCCAGCGGCGTTTACAATCCCTGTCAGCGATGGTCGTTGTTGGTGGAGGCATGCTTATGTGCATTTGGCCCGCCGGCACGTAAGGCCACGCAGAGTTGTAGCATTAGTTCCATGGCTACGAACAGTTCCTCTGTCGCAGTTTCTGTATGCCCTAATAAGTTTCTGACCCAACACTATGCTTTGCTTTGTCCACTGTGCAGTTCATCTTGCTTGACTCAAGGCACCTATAAGGTCATCATGGGCAAAGCCCGTGACAACCATCGAGGTCTGCTATGTTTCAAGTCCTTGATCTCCGAGCGGGGTCTTCGTTTATCCACTCATGTGATGAGTGGATACGCATGGGCAGCCATAGAATCTCTGTCTTGCTACCTCATCCTCTTGAGTATGTCCTCCACAGCCGTGTTGGTGTTAGAGTCGGCATGCTATTCATCGGTTTCCGCAGAACTCCGTGAGTAATTACTCCAAGCTGTCAGTCCACATATTTTTCGAGTAACAGCTCGCTCTCAACGCACACATGATTCCCATAAATTTTGGGCGGTTTGTGGGATTCGAAGGCATGCTAAACCAGGCCGAGGACCTTGATCTTTACGGCCATGCTCGCTTATGCACTCATTTCATCAGCCAACCCATTCGGGATGTCAGCCGATGCATCCGCTCCTGGATGAGCCAACCAGCCGATATCTGCAAGAAACGCAATTGGTCAGCCTACGCTCACCACCACTGAAATGACCTAAGGGGAACGAAGAGTGGGTAAGTCGACTTCCTGAGGGGTTGGCAAATGCACATCATGACTCTTGATGGGCGGTTGGGAGCACAGTGTGCAGTCTCAAAGCCATTACCTTCGACGTGCTATGGAGTACCTACCAACCTCTGTTTGAAGAATGAGTGCAACGCACAGCCTTATCGAGGGGTTTCCTAAGCTACCGCGCGAGAGTCGGCCAAGAGGGCTGGCTGGCTGGCTGGCTTGTAAGAATGTGGGATCATGTGGGTGGCTAAGACTCCTCCGAAGGTGCCGACCTCATCTTCGTTCCCTTTTCGACCGCGGCCGCGTGAGTTGTCATGAGGGTCACACCGACGAACAGAGCCGGTTTGAGGGTAGCAACCGGTCAGAGGCCTTGAAGAACCTCTCATGGTTCTCGAGCTTAATGACGATTTGATTGATCCTGGCTTCAGCCTAGGATGGTTGCTCAGCCACCAAACACTGCGGCCAGACGAGAGTCAGCCCCACAACCATCCGGGCAAGGACCTACACCCACGGCGTGTGTCGAAGTCAAGGAGTTGCTTGAGAGGCAGGATGATACCACTAGGATCACCATTACTCAGACGCTCCTCCGAACCTTGAGCACTCGAACCGCGACTGTGACGCTTCACGGTGGTATTCCAACAGAGCCGCCTCCACGTCCATCCGAAGGCGTCAGCAATCACCAGCTTGGGGCAATCATCGGCGGTACGTGCGCTACAATATTGATACTCTTGCTTCTTGGATGTCGGATTCTCAAAAGACGACGGAAGAACAAACCATTTGTCAAATCACCCCGCGGGGGCAATTTACCTTTTCCATCGGCGCCCCTCCGACCCTCTCCATGGTCTCCCCGATCGTCAACAGGACCCGGGGGGCGGCAAGGACCTTGGCGTCCCAGTAATACTTCTCCGTCTTCTTCAGGTGAAGACTTTTTGGACAATAAGGATCCGCCACCTCCTCCAGACTCTGGGCCTCCAAGACCCCCTCCAACATACTCGAGACCCCCACCAGGTCCGGTACATTCCAAGACATCGCCTGCTTCGGAGAATCTCAAATCACCTACGTCTTCAGGCCCAGGACATATATCTCATCCTCCAACAGCTCCAGTGTCATCAAAATACCCTCCCAAATTTGTTCCTACGGAAGGCAACCAAAGGCCGTCGACAAACTACTCGCCATCATGGGTGCCAATAGCCATCGACAGATCTGGCGCCTATCCAGTTCAACCACAACCTGACTCCACGCTCCCCTCCAGTTCAAGGCCTTCTTCCACTTTTCAATCTGGTCCGTTGAAGTCCGGCGTCACGGCGATGCTCCGAGGCGGACCATTGAGAATAAGCACTGCTCCAACCACCAGGCCCAGTGTTTATACTCCAATCCCACCCCCTCCTTATCGTCCCAAGATTATCACAACTGATCCGGAAGGAATATCGGGATCCTCGAGCAAGATTAAACATGCGCCCGGTTTTCCCGGTCACGGTCGTCTGGGAATGATCTCATCCATTGGCAACACTGCTCGAGTTACAACATCTTTTCAACAACCTCCAGCACCGGTACAGTCGGCACCCTTCAGCGGGTCACACGGTGAGAAAAAGACGGTCAAATTTCCTGACGTTCTAGAGGAATCGATTCCCGAACTCCCCACGGAGTCCGACCCACCGTCACCCGAGCATACGAGAGGAAACAAAAAGTCAACACTCATTCCACCATCACCCAGACAAAATCGCCACTCGAATGGCGGGTTAAAGTCCACTTCTCCTGAGTTCCAAGATGAAGATCACCCTAGGACTCCAGAGAAGCCGGCTGAGTCTACGCCCAAGTCCAAGGTTGCAGATGAGGCCAACGGTCAGACAAGCTCTCCCGTCGAATCCCCATCGGGCATGAAAGGCCCTGCTACTGGGTCGCAGTCGAGTGTCCCATCCCCTGATATCATAAACATCGACCAAGAGCCCCCATTGGAAGGGTTGGATGAACCTGTACCCAAACCTGACGATGCTGAGAAGGTTAACGTTCAGCCAAGCACTCCAGCAAGTCACAGATCAGGGTCAAATAGTCCTTACTCTGGTGCCCGTCCGATGACTCAATCACCTACAGTCATTGAAGTCAATCCTAAGCCTCCAATACACCAGGAGTCGAGGTCGGTTAGCCATACCGTAAAGCGTAGCAAGCCTAGAGCTTCCAACACTCTCAAAAGCTTCTTAGAGGGTAAACCAAGAAGCCGAAGGTCCAGCTTCAGCGCCGCAAGTCATGCACAAACAGGTAAGACTTACAACACCCGCCAGAGTCGGTCCCACTTTGTGCTAATCGAAAGCGTTTTCGTTGCAGCTCCTGCAGCCTATGCTTCTTATTCGCATTTCCGGCCGTCTCCGGCTCCGCCAACAACCACATATCGACACGCACCTCCTCTTCCCAGCGATAGTTACTACTACGGCCGGGACCACATCCCGCATCATCCATCTCCCCATCCTCCTCCTCCACTAAGCCACGCGGTAGAGGGGACTGAGACTGAGCACGCTGAATTACCGCAAGCAAAGCCCGTTCGGGCCGCTGGTCGAGAGGGACGTCAGAGAAACAAGAACAAAAACAAGAACAAGAACAAGACCAACACTCTTATCAAGACCACACTTGTTTACTTTTCCGGGAGGGAGGGCGAAAAAAGACAATAGGAAACAGTCCCCAAGTCGGCAACAACTAAGTAAGAATAATAGCTAGGACTAAACAAATATAAGTGTTATAATATTGACTATTATAGATAGTTATTAGAATTATTAGATTAACTCTAATAACTTATTACTAGTAAATCCTTAGATAATTAGCTAAGGATCTACTAAGGACTTATATTTATTAGTTAAGTTAAAGCACCTATATATAAAACACCCCTATATATAGAACACCTAAAACATTACTATTATATTAACTACTACCCTTTTTAATTAACTATTAATATTTTCTATATATAATAATAATATAGCTTTTAGCCTTACTAGG